TGCTCAGCAATGGATGCTCTGCAGTGAATGGGTGCCGTCAGAATGAGAGTCCAAACAGCTGATAAAAACATCACAATAATCCACAGCACTCCAGTCCATCAGTTAACATTAACATTAAGATGTTTTTAACTTCAAACCGTTTCTTCCAGCTAAAATATGAGTCCATAATCCATAATAACGCTTCCTCCAGTGAAAAAAGTCCATCTCCTGTTGTCTCTCACATCAAAATCCAGCCACATATTTGTTTAGAGCTGTTTTGGCTTGTAAGCGTTGCTTGATCTGTGCAGATTTCTCTCCTGATTCAGACCAGATGACTTTATCACTGTGTAATACAATATTATGGATATTATGGAGGACTTGTATTGTAGCCGGAAGGTTTGAAGTGAAAATGTCTTGATGGATTTGCTTCAGCTTTTGTCTTCTCCAGATGTTATCTGATGGACTGGAGTGCTGTGTATTACTTGTGGATGTTTTTATCAGCTGTTTGGACTCTCATTCTGACGGCACCCATTCACTGCAGAGGATTCATTGGTGAGCAAGTGATGCGATGCTACATTTCTCCAAATCTGATGAAGAAACAAACTCATCCTAATCTTGGATGGCCTGAGGATGAGCACATTTTTAACAAAAAAATCATTTTTGGCTGAACTATTCCTCAAGTGTCTTAAATGCTTCTCGGGTCACTGTACACGCTTCTCCTGTTCCACACAGACGTCTGCTGTAATACTACTGACAGAACCGGGCTCTATGTGTTTCCCTGACCTGAGAAGACCTGATACAGAGAGTTGTTTTTAAATCCAGTGACTTCTTATCTGCAAAGCAGACTGTAAAACTGGTGTGAAGATGTGTGTTTGCTGACTGATTACTGTACCAGAAGCACATGACCTCATCCTGACCTTGTTTTTGGAGAGGGGGGTTTTCTGAAGGAATATTCTGGATTGATGTACAGCGTCTGTGACATGCTGTCGACTGCCAGAGAAAATCTTTTCTACTCGCTTCTCACAGCCGAGGTATTTTCTGTGGTAATCGACAGCGTGAATGTTGAATATAATGACAGAATATTTCCCTGAACAGTTCAGTAACCTCAGATGTTTCCGCTTTCAGATCATTCCCACAAGTGTGTTTTTTTTTAAAGTGCATAATATTTTTCTCCATGTTGTCTTAATCCACTTTTAAAACGTACTACTATTGCATAGCACAACGCTAGAGTTCCTGTAAATAAAGAGTGTAGAATGTATTTCCTGCATTTATCAGAGATTCAATGAACGGTAGCTTTCCTTCAGTTAGTTCTTTAAAAATGCACATCTTGCGTTCTGTTGCATCACTTTTTTTATCGTACAATGTTTTGATTTCCTAGATATTTCATAAATAAAGAAAAAGCAAAGTAGATTTATTTATCTAAACGTGAAAAGTTTAAAGTTATTTAATGTATGAAAAGTCGGGACGTATCATTTAACCATAGATTTGTGTAATCTGCTTTTTCAATAAAGTGGTTTTTGTAGTTAACTTAAACTGTTACAGTGATTTTATTTTTATACAGAATCTGGGTTTTTATACAAAATGACATCTCTGCAATAAAAAAACGATACTGATTTTCACGTTCGATTCATTTAAATCAAATATTTCATGAATCAAATAATGTAGTAATAATAATAAATTAATAAAAAATAAATAAATAACATCTGAATGTGTCATTCTACGCATTTCTCTAAACACAACCAAATCAGAATGAATAATTTATTTTTCTTAACAAAAGATTTGTTTTTGTATTCCCCACTTCTCTTTGCTGTATTGGCCAAATCTATTAAAATATATATATATATATTTATTTATTGGAAGGGATGGATATGACTGCCAATATTGTTGAATCAAGACTATCAAACGTTTTTTCTTTTCTTTTTTCTTTCAAACATGTATTTCATAGACATATTGAATCTAGAGCTGTCCAGAGAACACAAACATCACAGATGGTTTTAATTGTGTAAACAGTAACATTTAGATATTTTCCCCCCTGTTGTTTTATTTAAATTAGCTTCCCTACAGCATGACATGAGTCTGAAGTGATTTTCCACACCAGGGTGAGACTTTTGAGCTCTGTTCTCATCACCTCGTCCGAGGTTTTCTGTTTCCAGCAGTTTCCAGTATAGATGTGGTTTTCCTTTGGCCTGTGAAGGGTCTGTGTGTTTATTCGGCGGTGATATCGGCTCAAATCAGCGCGTGTGCATTTATACTGTAATCACGCTGCTGCACGCAAACACTCTCCGCACCCTGATGTCTGATACAGCTCCCACAGGAACAAACTATACTCTGTTACAACTGAGTTCTCAGTCAGTTGTGTTGCATTTAAATACCCACTTAAAATTAGTATGCTGTGAAATGCTGCATAGCTAAA